GCTGTGTAGCAATGCACTGTTAACATTCAGGCAAACAGTTGTTTGAGTGACCAAAAGCAAAGTGTAAGGCATGTAAATGAACCAGAAAGTTGGAACAATACAATTTCATTTTCACAAAGCGAATGAATTTTACGCCAGTATCAACGAGCATTCTTTGTTACAAGCACTTGGAAGACCTCTGTTTTCTCAAACGGATTTACCAATAAGGTAAGTGTGGCTGTTGTTTGTGAAAACATTCGACCTGAGGTCTTATACGTGTACACGGATGCAATCCTGTCCAAAAACAATCAAACGAATATATGAGTGCACGGATGGTATCATCTTTTATGGTTTACAACAATTACCTTCTCTTCCTCCAACTCTTCAAACACCCAGATCCTCGCAGATATATTTGAAACGCAATTGTTGTCTGAAAGTGACGTCACACTTCCGGTTTTGACGCTTGTCAGGATCTCACTTTGGGAAAACGATTACTTTGCCAATTTACAAAACAGAATTTTTTTTTTCATGCTTTATTTCATGGATTTCGTTGAATTACTTTACTTGTACATAAAAGTATTTCAAATCGGATTTCCTAAAATTCCTTCAGAGTTGACCTTGAATTCTTTCAAAATTAAATTGAATTTGTTATTAAAATTGGGGAGTTGAACACAACATACCAATTTTTCATAACTGTTTGAAAACATTTTTTTCCCCTTCTGGCAAGCATTCTAAGTAGCAAATGAAGGTCTGATTTTGGTGAGAACTTGACCCTAACTGATTAATTCAATTCCACACACACCGGGACCCACTACGATGTCTCGAGTCACGGAAAGGATTATTCGAAACTTTGGGGGTTCCACTGTAAAACCTCATAAACAGGTAAATTAAATTAAGAAAAAAAAAGACAACAAAATATGAGTGCAAAGATTTTCCAATTCCACCGAGATTATTCTAGTCCATATTTCAAATCTTGTGCATTGTAAACTGTCACGTAATTGGCTCTCTGTTTAGCAGCATATTATAAATAATGTCTTTGTGGACAGGTGAATACATCCTGTGCTGTAAAACTTCATGGCTGTTCGAGGCAGTCACGAGAGGTGATATGAGCTGTCAACAGATTCAAACAAGGTGAAAAACCTACGGTGCCGAGAAGCCTCCGGCGTCTAACTTGTCATGCTAACAGCCATGAGAGATTAGAACACCTCACTGCAGATACGTAGTCGGCCATACTGGTTGATTTAATTACTTTTTTTTTTTTTTATAACACTCGAGTTATGAATGAAATACTGTTACGTATAGCTTTCACAATTGTTTCATCGATATGCATCCAGATTTCTACAAATGTTGTTCCTAAACATCCACAGTTTTTTTAAGAGGTGCAGTCTCCCGTGAGTGAATAACACAAGAGTAATACAGCTGCATCCTGGGAATGTCCCTGAAGCTGTAAAACAATTTGGGGAGATTCCCAGAAGTCGACAAGGGCAATTCCATGATGTGTTAATCTACACATACAAGGCTGGGCGATCGTGCTTTATCTGACAGAAGTCGACAAGGGCAATTCCATGATGTGTTAATACAAGGCTGGGCGATCGTGCTTTATCTGGAAAGAGATGAGGAAAACAGCACGAACCTTGATAAAGTCCTTAAATTGACTTTTTTTTTTCCATTTACATGCAACAATGACATCCCGATTTAGCATACCACACATTAAATAATATACTTTATTATGATCGTACATGACTCAGGATCATTGCAAAGTCATATTATTCATGAAATTCATTCGGGGATGCTTTTCTCGTAGCATTTTCTCTCCAGAGGATAAGATGATTTTAAACTATAACTGTATCGTGATCCAGACTGTATGCTATATCGAGAATGGAGCCAGAAGATGCCAATAAAAAAAGTCAACACCGAAAGCTGTCTGGAGTTACATGGGCTGCAACTATATTGAATTTTGAGAGTTTTATTTGGGTTAGTTGCACTTGCCTTCTATTTGTGTTTGTTGCCCTTGGAATACGATCAGGCCAGCAGCCACTATTGCAAATCGATATCATATTGCCATCGATTATTTAGGACACTCGTTCTCTGATCAAGAATTCATTATTGCTGTCATCGTAAAGGAAGAAATGTGCAGGAGCAGTTGCTTTGGATAGTCATGTGAGTGAAATTACAATTAGGATGAATGAACTGAAACTCATGATGACTATTGTGTATGTACGGCAGTAGATGTATGGGCGGGCGGTCCTCTGGAGAAAAACTGAAGCGATGCAGTCATGTCGACTGCGAAACGTGGTGACAAACAAATAGGCTTACAATAGAAAAAAATGTCTTTTTACACATAAATACTGAATACAAAGGCAGAGGAGGAACGACCTTATTTTATGTCAGTAAAGCTTTTGACCATGCAACGTTCAGTACCTTAAAAAAAAACATCACAGCACCTAGAATGCTGAACACAGCTCAGTCCACCGGAGACGATATCAACTATTTACACATGATGACAAAAATAAAATAAAAATAATAACACCTTGAGCATACATTGTACAGCTTAAGTTGCACGTACCATTCGTCCAGCACATCAAGATGTGTTCAGGTAGCCTGAAGGGGAGAAAAGCAACTATTTCTAGAAGTCAACACTACGAGGTCAGAAGCATTTAAATACATCGTGGGAATACATACACACGTACAAATAATATACTCTGAATACATTTATATTATTATATACAAATCCATATTGGTTAAATACTGACTCATGTATTCTTATTTCATCACTGGATAACACAAAACATCCATAGTCTACTTTGGCAGCGGAGTTCTTTCACATTTAGCTGCGTCTCTTTCACCGTTTTGCCAGCGAGCTGAGAGGAGACGAAGCACGAGCGATAAAGAATAGTTTGCCATTCAGATATTATATATCTCAAGATGCGCAATCACGTCTTGTTACAGAGACTTGGATGCTGACACAATTGTTGGACTTCTACACAGTCACACCAAAATCAGTTGTGCTGAATTGGGCTCAATAATTAAAGACTCTCTCAGGATTTTATTTCAGTATGATTTTTTTTTGGGGGGGGGGGCAAATGTCTGAAATCATTTTTTGTCTTTTTTATTTTTAATGAAGAGATAATTGGCAGGGATTTGTGATCAAGCAAGAGCTGCATGGCCATACTACTTTGTTCCTCATGAGGCAATAATGAGTGTGATAAGAAGATAAGAATTCAGAGATGACGATGGTATGGGAAATACCTGAACATTTTCCCATCAAGCTCATGTTGAGAAAAAGATCTATTAACATACTGCCTCCAGTTGTCATGGAGGGATCACTTGTCATATAAAACAGAGCTTTGAATTACAATTTTAGGAACACTGCTTCTGTTGTAGCAAATGTATCGTATTTTCCGCAGTATAAGGCGCACCTAAAATCATTAAATTTTCTCAAAAGCTGACAGTGTGCCCTATAATCCAACACGTCTCTCTATATTTTCCCCATTGAGTTTGTTTCCCTGTTAGTGTTCCTATACCATTTAGTGGTGATTATTAGCAAGAACCAATTGTAACCTAAAAGGCTTCTGCCTGACACTAATTGACGTGCATTCGCCAACACACACTCTCACAGATAACTGTTTTGTGAGCTCTGAGCAACTATGATGAAACGAAGATAATACCAAAAGCAGAGTTAACTACTGACTTAACGAAGGAAGAAGGAGACAAGCAAGACTTCTAAGGATATTTTGCCCCTTGTGGATGTGAGGTCACGAGGTTTGTACGCCTTTTCGTTGTATGTTTCATGACGATATTTGTGATCAGTTCTCATTGCGACCGCTGCAGTGGTTGTGAAGCTGTATTGTATTGTATTCCCTTTAGCATAGCACCATCTAGTGGATGTATAGCGCAACCGCAGCCACTATTTTAGCTTCCATTCTATGCGCCTTATAACACGGTGTGCCCAATACATGAAGAGTTTTAAAATAGACCATTCACTGAAGGTGTACTTTATAATCCGAAGCGCCTTATTGTGTGGAAAATACGTTTTTTTTTAATGTCACTAGTGGATGTATAGCGCAACCGCAGCCACTATTTTAGCTTCCATTCTATGCGCCTTATAACACGGTGTGCCCAATACATGAAAAGAGTTTTAAAATACACCATTCACTGAAGGTGTGCTTTATAATCCGAAGCGCCTTGTTGTGTGGAAAATACGTTTTTTTTAATGTCATCTATACTAAACAATGTTTCCATCTAAGCTAAACCACACGACTGTAAAAGTTGGTGGTATTGCAAAAACGCCATCGGGAACACAATTGTTCAGTTCCTATACATTGTGCCAATTGTACACTACATGGGAATATATTTACGCATTGCATTATTTATTATTATATGATGTATTGTATTTTCATTATTGGACTCATACGGTGTGTTTATGTTTAACCAGAAGTGATGCTGATCTCTATTTAGTACACACACACACGCACGCACGCACGCACGCACACACACACACACACACACACACACACACACACACACACACAGAAGTTCTAAACCAAAAGTGAATGAATTATAATGACAATGAGAACCACAAGTTGCTTTGCAAGTGCATTAGCGTGATACAGGTCAGAGTGTAAATCGCAGTGAAGCCTTGGTTGGAGAACAGAACACTCCTGTCATTGATGTTCGCTCAAAAAGGCAATAATACAAATGATGGTGTGTCATATATATTCTGTACAACCCACTTAGGGATGCATTTGGGGGAAATATGTTTATAAGAAATGAATGGATACTGGCTTTGGTTGTTGAGATTTCATTCACTGATGTTTTTGACACCCTTAGTTTACGTAGGCAAGTGCAGTTTTCAAAGCATGGATCACTTCATGACTGGTAAGCTTCCCAACCAGAAACCATAATCCTTTTCTGACCAATTCAAGGGACAGGCAATAAGATTGGCTTACTAATACACGTCTTTAATGGGTAAAATGATGAGGCAGGGTTTTCTCTTCTGGTTATTGGTTTGTTCAGCACATTTTTTGAAAGAACCCAATTGCCAATTTTGGTTGGAAAGAACTACTTCATGAAAGTTGTGACGCTTCTTGAAATTCTTTCCTCGATGTGGAAGTGCTCCATGACAAATGTTGCTGCACAAGCATTCCAGGAAAAATAAATGTGGAAGCACGGAGGTGTTTTCGTTTGAAACTAAGACATAAAATGGGAGGTGTGAGCTAAATCCTGTCAGCAACTGTGTATTGTATATTACTTTTGTGGAGTCAGACACCGAAATGCAAATTTGTACAGCAAACGTAGTGGAAAAGCATCCAAGTCTTCGTAGCATACAGAGGGGATGGAGGGTGTTTCAGAGTGGATTTTGCATGCGGTGAACCACCTTCACACAATTAAGGCACCTTTTAAACCCCTGAGGGGTCAATGGGTTCTTCTCATAAGAAGAAAAGCAACGAGGTGGAACATGAAACTGGAGCTGAAAGGGCAACACCAAGACGAAGGACACGGTGAGAATAAAAGAAACGCATGAAGGAATGTCTGTGGGAAAGAAGTGCCCTGTTAAATGTGATCATTTATAAAGATTTGTCCCAGTTCTGACGATGACGTCATGCCACGAACCTCAAATAGTTGAGATCTCTCCTCGTGTGCTTGTGGGAGGAGTTAGTACCCGACGTTAAGTTTGTTCTTATTGAGTTCTCTTTCGAGGTTCCCTATTAGCGTGTCGATGCTCTCCTGAAGGTCTCTCAGGTTGACCCTGTTGCTCAGCACAGGGCTGATGTCCTGATGGATCTTCATGTAAGCCTGGTACGCATGCTCCTTCTGCAGCCGCGGAGGCAAGATGTGCTCACACACACTTTCCTTCTCCTCCACTTCCTCCTCCGACCGGTGCCTGTTTCTGGAACTGTCGCTCTCGTCATGCTTTGCATCCTCCGCCAAAACGTCGTCTTTGTCTTTATCGTCTGGCTGCTGCTGCTCCTCCACCGCCGCCGCCAACTCGCACAGAGTCTGCACCTGCTCGGCAGGACCTGGCAAAAGGCTCATAACCTCCTGCACGGTGGCTTCTGCATCCTCAGGCTCTTCAAGGCCCTCGTCTGCGTCTGTATCCTCCGAGGGCACATCGTCGTAGTCGGCCTCCTCTTTGCTGTGAGGGAGCAGAAGCATCTCGGAAGGAAAGTAGCTATCGCCACAGCCGCTCCAGTCGCCCGCGTAGCGGTTGCTCGGGCTGTCCAGGCGTCCAAGTTTGGGTCGCAGAACACCCGCCATCTCCGCTTCAGTGAGGTTCAACACCTGTGGACGTTCTTTTCTCCGCCGTAGGGGAGGGGCCGTGAGTGAGTCAGGACCTTCGGGGGAGGAGGGCTGATGATGAGGGTCCACAACTGGAGAGGACGAAGAGAAAAAGTAGTTTTTAATCCATCAGGGAGGGATCAATTCATGCAAATATGCACTCACCAGGCACAATTGTTGGACTTCTTAGGTAAATTTGGGGAATATACTAGGGTATTAAAAAAAAAAAAAAAAACCCTCTGCAAATATATTAATGCTCTGTTGTGATTGACACATTGGAAAAGACACTGTCATTTTACGACACTCCTATGTTTATAATTGTGGCTGTAGTGCATACCTCAACTAACTTAATCAAAATTTCATCATGATTTGGATTTGGCTTCTCATGATCATGCAAACATTGTAGTAAAAGAAAAAACGGTTCACGAGCCAAACAGCGTGGTGGGTTTGCAAGTTCCGATGATGTGAAAGCGTCCTGCATGTTGAATGTTATTCTGCCCTCCGTGAATGTGTGACACCCCACCCAACAAAGAGAATTATCCACATTGTCTATTTAAACACAAGACATGCTTCATTTTACAAACATCACCTATGTTAACACTAGCAGTCAATGTAAAATTCCATTGGCATGCTAATAGAGAATTTGCATCAGCTTCCAGGAGTGATATTTCTTCAAATAATGAAAATGCTCCAGAGGGGGGCTCCGGTGACCCGCGTCCGGGCAAAGGAAAACATGGATAAAAAATTTTACTCGTCATAAGGGCTCAATGAGCCGCACTTTGTCTGGTCATTCATATAGGACCTGTTGGCCAGGGGTGACTCTAAAAGGGACATAAAGCCCCAGACAATTTCGCTCCTCGGATCATTGGGAGATGCAAACCCCTCCACCATGGCAAGGTGGAATTAATTCAGAAACGAGGGTTTTTTTTTGCATTATCTGATAATGTATCAAAAAGTCGAAAAATACACATTGGTGTTGGTTCCAAGTTGAGGCTATTGTGACCACCCTACAACTTGGGTAATTGAAGACTAAATTGCTCTTAGGTGTGAATGTTTGTCTCCCTATATGACTGGCGACCAATCCAGGATCCACCGTGCCTCTTGCCTAAAGTCAGCTGGGCTTTAGACTTAGCTCACCTACGGCCATAACAATAGCAATAATAAAATCCATCCATCCACCCATCCATTTTCCGAACCGCTGTATCCTCACTAGGGTCGCGCGGGGTGCTGGAGCCTATCCCAGCTGTCTTCAGGCAGGAGGCGGAGGATACCCTGAACCACTTGCCAGCCAATCGCAGGGCACACAGAGACGAACAACCATCCGCGCTAACACTCACACCGAGGGACAATTTGGAGTGTTCAATCAGCCTGCCATGCATGTTTTTGGAATGTGGGAGGAAACCCAAGTACCCGGAGAAAACCCACACAGGCCCGGGGAGAACATGCAAACTCCACATAGGGAGGCCGGAGCTGGAATTGAAGCCGGTACTTTGCACTGTGAGGTTGACGCACAAACCACTGGATCACCGGGCCGCCCAATAATAAAATTCATAAATAAATAAAAAAATTACTGTCCCTACCCCCACTATGCTCATGACTGAAGAGAAAAGGGTAATTACAAGTAAGCTTATGGATGTCTGAAACTAAAATAGACTATTATGCAGTTATACCGTATACAGCGACATGCAATGCTCATATGAACACATGCTGAAATCACACCACAGCACTCCATGACTAACACATTTCCACTGTTTGTTATGACTGCTGTGCTGACTATGCTTCAACTAAATGTCCTGATATCTGGTTAGATATTGCAAAAGAATCAAGTAACTGCTGCTCTACAAAATCAATCAGCGAACACTCCAGCACAAACCAGCGTGGTGTTGTTACCTGTCTCTGTCTTTGTCTACCTCTAATTGTTGCGCCCGCTAGCCCTCCCACACTGGATTGGGGGGAAAAACATGACAAGTGTTAGGGCTTCAACATGTATAAAGCATCCTAGCAATACCAAGTGCAAAAGCTGCATGCATGCCTTGTGGCTACCCTTTGGTGACATTGCACTTTCATTCAATCAATGAATTAGCTGAGTGATAAAATGGAGCTCCAAAGGCAATATGTCCTTGTGCTCTTTCTGTGCCCGCTCTACAAAATCATCCACCTCTTTCTGTCATGTCTACTTATACAATGTGCTCCAGTCTCTTAACACAGTAAAATGGCTATTAATGCTGTTTACATTGACAATATGTGAGATCATTTTGCACGTGACCCCCGGCGCCTTTCCACATCCCGCAGGAAGGTGTGATCGGATGTCCTTGTAAGGCATGCAAACTGTCTAAGATGTGGTGGCTGAATAGATCGTAGAATAATTGTGAAACATGAGGCGAGTTTTTAGGAGCTAAGGTCGGGTCTGTAATGCTTTTAATTTGAGTGCAAGGATATAATGTCATCTTCTAGAAAAGGACAAAAAGGAGACGCTGCTCGGCTTTTAAACAAGTTGCATTGAAAATGCTATCGGTTATATTTATATATCTATTAGTGTTATTAATTCTGCTAGGATAAAGGTTATTGGGAGCATTTTACCCCATATGGCTTCAATTTGCTGAGGGCACATCCACTCACTGGAGATGTTATCTGAACAATCTAATGGGATCCAATAAAAGCAAGCAGAAATTGTTGGGAGTGAGGGGGGGAATGCCCAAATGCATGTGACGCAAACTCGTATATGATGCATGAATAATGTTTGACAAAACAATCATTTTTCAATCATAAAGTCAGCAACTGTTGGCATTAGGTTCTTCGGACTAGTCCACAGGTCGACTTTGCTGCTCCACAAACAGACGTGAGCAGTGTTACTTCCAGTTACAAGTTACTTCCAAAATGTAATGTAATTAACATCACTGGTTACTTGCATTTAAAAGTAATTTTTCGAATCAATATTACCATCTATGTTGTGTGTTTACTTCTTACTTTTAAGCTGTTTCCTAGAAGTAAATCACAGTTTAATTGATTTAATGTTTTCAGCATTTTAAATGGAAAACACAGAATTTACATCCATAGCTGGTAAAGTTAACTTGTGGATCTTTAACGCTATAATGTGGGACAGGGGTCACCAACGTGATGCCCACGGGCAAGCCCTCAAGGGCCACATGAGTAGTCCACAGGCCTGTTCTAAAAATAGCTCACCAGTGATGGGACATTGTGATTTTCATAATTCATAAACATTATATAAAGCTCATTAGCTGTGTTCAGCCCCCTGCTGCTTCTCCTCCTCAAACTGCCCCTTGTAGGCAGGGTACCCCAATAGGTAAATGTTCCTCTTTGAGGAAGACCAACTTGACAAACTGGCACTGGCCAGGGTCATCCTCTTTGGCCGGAGGATGTCGCCGGTTGTGGAAAATACCCTCTCCACAGCAGCGGAGCTTTGGTCTGGGGTGTCCGCTCACGCCTCCCTGTGCTCAGCCGCCACTTTCTAATGCAGTTCACATGGTTGGGTGACCAGTGGACCGTTTGAAGCGTTACAAGGCAATTTTTGTCCTTTGCCCATTTTGCCTGAGTCAGTTGAAGTGAAATTTTGGACGCTGAGAGGCATATTATAGAGTCAGCTTTCTTAACCGGCTGGATTGAATTGTTTACAACTGTTGAAGTGTCAACCAAGGTAGCAGTTAGCTGCCAACACAACCACCATTGGTCACCAGACTGATTGGCAAAGTGTAAACTCTGTTGGATGAAGGACGAGTGGTCCTCCTCTTGTCCGCTTGAAGCTAAGTTAAGTCACGCCCTTGCGCATACAAACACGGTGACCACAGACGAGACAAGCGGTACTACTACCACTCGCTACTCAAACAGTGTTTCATAATCATTTTGGGCAGTGTCAGTGTCTGAGCACAACAAGAGCGCAAGCCGTCAAAATGAGGGCTTTGGTAGACTGTATCTAGTAGATAGGTTTAGAATTCTGGTAGTCCTAGTGTTGCACGACTCCCGTGTTTATTTCAAAAACAAAACATTCAAGCAATACGTTTTTCTTCAGGGTTTTGAAACTGTCGATGAAAGTTGCAGTGAGCTCCCAGTGTGCACTGAATGGGTTGAAACAAGAGCAGGTAATAGCTCGCAGCAACATAGTGGAGAAAAAAAAAACGAACAAGTTTTCATTTTTGAAACTGTGAACTTGGTTGAAAAAAAAATTATGAACTATGAACGGAACTAATTAATTTTTAAATGAAATTTTAAGTGGTTCGCTTAAAAAAAATAGAAAGAACTTTCCCAACATTGATATTCCATAATGCTATTAATTATGACTGCTTTACATGGTTTTAAACGAGAGTGGATTATTTTGCAAGCTAATCACCTTGACTCACTGAACGCGACATCACAGCAGCAGTTCCGGAAAGACTACATCCATCCATCCATCCATTTTCTGATGCGCTTTATCCTCACAAGGGGGCATGCTGGAGCCGATCCCAGCCGTCATTGGGCAGTAGGCGGGGGACACCCTGAGCCGGTTGCCAGCCAATCGCAGGGCACACAAAGACGAACAACCATCCGCGCTCACACTCACACCTAGGGACAATTTACAGTGTCCAGTCAGCCTGTCATGCATGTTTTTGAAACGTGGGAGGAAATCGGAATACCTGAAGAAAGTCCACGCAGGCTTGGGGAGTATATGCAAATTGCACACAGGGAGGCTGGAGCCGGAATCAAACCTGGTACCTCTGCACTGTGAGGTCAACACGCTAACCACTGGACCAGCAGTTGTGAAATAAAACTAACTTTGCCCTATCTTTTCACACTCAGTGGCAGATGGCGGACAATTGAGTAATGCTTGCCTCCGCTCCTGCTTTGTGATTTATCTCAACACCGGGGACAACGCCTCTTACGTTTCATATGAAAACCCTTTGTGGGCAGTTTCATGTGTAAGGAGGTAACAGATGTGAGATGATTGCTATTAAATGACAGTGGCAGGGATGAGCCCTATTTTGCCGGTCTGCCCTCCGTCCGTAACCTGGTTACCCTTCCGTCATTGTCCTGCCTTCATTCAGAATTATTGCTTTTGATTGTATGATGGTCTCCTAGTTCAGTTTGACCATATTATTTGTCAAATGTATGGCTGATATTAAAGCAAAATAGACTATGTCGGATGGGCTGACATATCGCTTCAACCCGATTCAGAAATAACAAGGAAAGGAATATTTATATTCATTTTATATTTCCAAAGTGTTTGTGGCTCCCATGGAATTTTCTATAAAACGATTCAAATGGCTCCTTAGTTGCCGACACTGGTGTAATATGTCCCTCCTCACTTAACGTACAGTGATGCAGCGTCTAAAGTCTCGTCTAAAGCCGTAATGTAGGACTCTAAACGTCACCTAATGTGTAAAAACTGCGATCAATGGTCATCAAAATTTATGTTGACCTCTTTACTTATGCTCACATCAAGTATTAGGAATTTTGGGGTGTTTTCCTCTTCATAGAGGCGCTCACTACAAAGCTTATGTCACTTCACGAGAGAAACGCATCGTCCATAAAATACAAAACGCATGACATGTCTTGCCATATTACACAATGCCACACTGAAAAATGTGCAGGACTCTCGCATGCAAACATTGGCGTATTCGTCGCGTTTGCGCCTGGGTACCAAACCTTAATTTCAATAAGGCCGTGACTGCCTGTTTCAGATAAGACTGGCCATCAAAAAAAAAAAAATGATATCACTGTTTCTTTATATACAGAATGACCATCTCTGGATGGTGGATAACCTCAACATTCAGAGCTCTTTGTAGGGCTAAACCACGACAGTCATTTGCACAGGAGCGATTAAGACTGAAAAGAAAGACTCTTGAGTTGAGACAACAGGGAACGAGTGCCGTGAATAAAGCCATCTCTGCAGTGCCTCCCCGTCCCTCTCCTGTTCGTTTGCCGATCGACTCCCATCATCACTGGCAATGGATGACAAGACAGCAAGTCTGGCTGTCTATGGTGCGACATCCCCTCACGGATTTATGTAGAATAAAGCAGTACGTCCCCTGCATCTCGCCAATATGTGACAAATTGGTTTTCAAAGGCGGCACTGCTGCGAGGTGAAGCTTTTCGACGAGTTTGCTGCGTGTGACAACAAGAGAGTGATAGAGGTTCTGGAACGCAACTGTGTAATGACCGTGATTTCCGGACTACAAACAGCACCGGATTAAAAGGTACAACACTTCATTTTAGGCATTAAAATTTACATATATTAGCCGCTTTGGACTAATAGCTGCGGGTCTACCACATTATTACAGTACATGGCGTATCATCTATATTATAAACCCAGTAGTAGACGCTGTTCCCTAAAACAATAATGCCGAACACTGCTTCAGTTAAACAGCATCACAGAACCTTTCTGAGCCTTTTGTTGTCACGCGAGGCAAATTCGTAGATGATTTTAGACAAGGGTCGCAACGCAGAGATGGCTGTGTTAATTGCACTTGTTCTTTATTTCTTATTAAACTCCAATCTGCTGAACACAAACGTTTCTGCATTTCTTTCACGCTCTCTCTCTCTCTCTCTCTCTCTCTCTCTCTCTCTCTCTCTCTCTCTCTCTCTCTCTATCTCTTGTCTTGCTGCAAGCCATGCAGTCGTCTCCTCCCGCAGCTGTAAATCATGTGGTTCCAACCACAAATAACTGATGAGCATTCAGAATGAGGGCGGACACTTTCATTGATCAACTGTGACATGTTCGGTAATTTCAGTGGTCGGATGTGACAAGAATGGGTCAATCTTTTGACGGCTCGACGCGCATCAGTAAAAACCGTGAATATACTGCATCAGATTAAAAGCCGCAGGGTTGAAGGTTTGGGAAAAAAGTAGCGACTTAAAACTTGAAAAATACGGTTGCGTTCGGCATTAGTGTGTGCATGTGTGTGTATGTGTGGGGAGGGGTGGGGGGATGGAGGGGTGAGCGTCAATCTGTATTTAAGATAATTTTTTTTTTTAATCAATCTAAATGATTGCTTTACAAATATCTAACCCGTGTTATATGTGGAGACCCGTAGATATTAATAAGCAGCAACCAGCATGTTACAAATTTGCTTTTATGGCTATCCTCACAAGGGTCATGGACATGCTGGAGCCTATCCCAGCTGTCTTCGGGCAGTAGGCGGGGGAACACCCTGAACTAGTTGTCAGTCAATCGCAGGGCAAACACAGACGAACAACCATCCACGCTCACACTCACACTTCAGGACAATTTAGAGTCTCCCATTAACATGCCATTGATGTTTTTGGAAAACCCACGCAGGCACAGGGAGAACATGCAAACTCCACATAGGAAGGCCGCAGCCGAAATAAAACCCTGCACCTCTGCACTATGAGGCAGACGTGCCAACCAGTCGACCTCCGTGCCTCCCTTCTCTCTCTCTCTCTCTCTCTCTCTCTCTCTCTCTCTCTCTCTCTCTCTCTCTCTCTATATATATATATATATATATATATACACACAGACATTACAGTAAGTAGTATTTTGCTTCCATTGTGTTTAATTTAAAAATATATATAAATTCAAGTGTACGAGAAGGGTAAATTGTAAGACTTTGACCCGTTGCAGGAGGGTCTGGAACATAACCCCGCAATAAACCGTTTCACTATATTTGTACATGATTAAATAATTACCTGGCCAGAGCTGCAGCAAGTAGTGCAAGACTTCAATGTGCTTTTTGAAGTGCAGTGCACTGGCGAGTTCCTCTGAGTCGATGAAGACTCGGTTGGTGTGACAGGAGGCCTCCTGACGCTGGCTGAGCAACACAGGGCCAAAACACACTGCCAGGTTCTGACATGTCATCTTGTTCACTTCCTGGTGGGAGGCCACCAACTTGAGGTGGTCAAGAAGCTTCCGCAATGTCATCTGAGACAGAGAACAACACAGCTCCTTATTATGATTCGCTATTGCAGGGGTTCCACTGGTGCAGGTAGCACGTAAGTGCTGTCATTATTCTCATTCTGATCCTTTTTGAATTCATGTCTCAAAACATGTGCCTCACCCTCTCCACTTCTGGAAGGTTGTCCAACAGGCTGACCGTGTGTTCCGAGTCAGCGTGGTCGTTCTCACAACCTGCTGCTCCCATCCTCAGAGGTCTGGTGGCCATCGAGTCCAATACTGCCTCGTAGAGCTGCTTGGTGATCAGAGGGTAGGGTAGCTCTCGTAGGTAGTCCTTTAAAACGCCTGTTGGGTGGGGGACAAAGAATGCTTGTGATGTCGTCCGTCAACTTGCAATCATAAGTACTGCTTTGGGTCGCGAAAGAACTTGAACGGTACTTTTGTTTTTGACATTTTCCCACAGCAAAACCCCTGCTGGCAATTGTTTTTCGTGTGTCAATGGTGGTGCATGTACACCTGTGACTTCAGCCTCCAGCAGCTACAGGAAAATACTGTCTGTCTCCATAAAGCCCCTGAAGTATTGCAGGCACGTCTTTTATCTGAGGCGAAGATGTCTGGATAAGTACTGGAATGATACAGGTTGCTGGCAGTGTGACAGCCCTTTGTGGGAACTGTCTGCTCCCTCTCCCCATCTCTCTCTTTCTCTCTCCCCCCCTATGCATCTGGATCAGTTTTCATACAATCTCAGAAGGCGTACTGGAGCAATGCTTGAAATGTTTGAAATAAGATGACATTATGATACGCATGCGATGTGGAAGAGGCATTGGCCAGTGAAGCAACAATCAACTCTTGGTGCAGATCTGATATTCATATAACGTATTTTCCGGACCATAAGTCGAAGTTTTTTTTCAGAGTTTGGCCCGGGGTGTGACTTCTACTCAGGAGTATGGAGACGCTGTGTGTTGGCTGTGAATGCTTGAGACCAGTGGTTCTTAACCTGGGTTCGATCGAACCCCAGGGGTTCGGTGAATCGGTCTCAGGGGTTTGACGTAGCCTCTGCCATGGAGGTTTAGACACAGCCCACTCAACATGTCAATTAGTTATGACACGCCCACTTGGCCATCACTGGCTGCGGATGATCACATTACATTGCTTCCATCAGTAGTCAGCGTGTGACTGTCATGATAGTATGTCGTGTGATTTAAAAAAAACAAAAAAAAAAAACTTTTTAAACACGTGCTATGTCGAGCAAAAAACGAAAGTGGTCAGACGAGTATGTACAACATGCATCACGGAACATGATGGGACTCAGCGTGTTATCTGCATGATTTGTCATGCCAAGTTGAGCAACTCTCATCTCACACCGGCAAAACAAAAGGAACACTTCTCGAATCATGTTTTTATTTTTCACTAGGGGTTCGGTGGATGCGCATCTGAACTGGTTGGGTTCGGTACCTCTAACAAGGTTAAGAACCACTTCTTTAGATGGAGGCAAATTTGTTGCTAATTGGTGAATTTCATTACAGTACATGGTAAAATTCCCAGACTTGAAAGTCATATTTTACACATATGTCAAATTATTGATTCAAAGCCAGACATCACCAGACTCCATTTAATTCTGTTATATTTTACCATAAACCTTATTTCCACTTGAAATATAACTCTACTTATTCAAAAAAAAAAAAAAGTACATTTACTGACAATATAACCACAATAATGGAAATAAAATAAAATTAAAATAAAGGCACAGTGTTTCCGTAGGTTTTGCACTGGACATTGCAACATAGATGGAGCAAGTAAGTAAATTTTTTTTTTTCAGAAATGTGGTTACGCTTTGATTGCCTGGCTGCTTGGATCTTGGTTTTCGACAGCTCTGGCTCTCTTTCGTTACATCTTTTGGCTTGACAATCCACCAAACACACGCGTGAGAACAAAAACGTCTCGGCAGAGGTAATAAATACAGTACAAAGTGAGTGACTTGCTATCATCACAGCAATAAAAGAAGGACTTTTTACTGATTGAAACTGAAAATCTTTACACTGATAAACAATAACCTCCCCACTTCACTGAGCGCCGCCCCCCCCCCCCCCACACACACACACTACGCATTCCTGAGGAAGCCAATTGCAGCGTAGAAGAACAACAACACATTCAAACAAGCATACTGTCAGGTTGATGGGAACACTGACAGCTCCAAGTGAGCAAGCCAAATTTGAACAGGGCTCGGGGCAAACATGTACTTTGAACTTCATAAAATGGCCCTCTATGAGCATGTCCCCGATGCCTTCGTCAGTGTGTACAGGTGAAGTTGTGACATGCTTATATTTTTTTTCCAAGCCTGAATCACATTCTTGAATGCTTCTGTTTTTGGTTATCTACTTCACGTTAGGTCGGAAATCTGGTATGAGGAGAACAGCGATAAGAAGTCGTAAACATTCATTCTCCCCTTCGCCTGTAAAGACATACAGATTTCTCAAACAGATTACACGGAAATGTTTGTGGACATTGTCTGGCTTCCTGTTATCAATCTGGATTTAGGCTGTGAAGATAAAATAATCTTTTGTCATCCCAGGAGTCTAACTGCCTGCTCGTAAATTCCGACCATTTTCGAGTCGTCCGTTAGCAAATCAATTAATTTGGTGACACGAGTGTACAATCTAAGTGCACTTCAAGGCACCACATGTACTTCAGTGGTTAGAGAACACGGCCACAGAAATAAATCATTAGCCTACTATGAGTCAGTGTGTGTGTTTACTTTTGCGTTTCAGGCCTTGTTCGCGCCTGACACACACATAATGCAAGTGCTTAAATATTCTTTCGCTCAACACATACGCACACACAAACACACAAGGTCATGGAATCGGGGGTGAACAGGTGTGTTTCCCTACAGGTGTTTCAATCTTTCAACCAAAGGAGGCAAATCAGTATAAAACTGCTTGTTCACAACGAAAGTGTTTGGGCTATTGGCTTGACCCAGGTACTCGATATGGACAGGTATGAGAAATAAATTCATGAATCGGTGTTTGAATTTGACAACATAGCCCCCGAACCATAACTATTCATCTAAATATTACCTTCTGAGCTATTAAATGATTGCATATTTGTGTAAACAGAAGTTTGGGGAAGGCTGTGAAAGAAAATGACCGTGTCCAAGTGCATAATGCAAGGTCTGTGCTTGAATGAGTTTGGAGTGGAACAACTTGACTGAGACCTCTGATCTCAACTCCGTCACAGCAAACAGCCAAGCTGGAATTACTAGTCCCAGAGCAGCAGCATGTAAAAACTTTTTTTTTTTTAATGCGCAACTGAATGAAACAAGCCAGCTTTGTGAAAAGTCGCACTTCGTAAAAATAAAAACTCTAATATGATTGAGACGTCACGTAAATTACTCATTTGTGCGTTGACGCAAAGCTAGAGTGCGCACACACTCAATGAATATATATTTGAGTCAATCAACTGCTTCATGTGATGCCCAAAATCCCTTTGTTGTTGTGAGTGATCGATTAATTGATTTGTGTGTTGTAATACAGTACAGGTATAGCCTAATTCAAATATTTATTGCTAAAAGCTCATGCCCCCAATTTGTTTGTTTGTTTTTTTTTTTTGGTCAATAATTTGATTTCTTTGTTTTAAGACAATATGTAATTAACGATAAATGTATCTGTAATTAATTTTTAAAACTCATGGATAAATGGTTAATTACAAATGCCGTTGGAAATGTAATAAGGAAAAAAATGACATTGAAAGAAAAAAGGCAGCAATTAAGCATGCATTGAGATGAAGTGAGAATCTAATCAAGTTGAAGTGTGGCCCTTTGAATTGTACAAAGTGACTCAATCACATTGAGAGGAATTTGATGATCTCGCTCCAACTACAGGCACGCTCACATCTTTTTCCAAAAGAGCGGAAGCAGATTTAGAATGTAAACCTACTCCATATGTACTTCTTTTTTCACTTCCTGGAAGTGTAATAGGCAGTTGGGTCTTTCTGGTCTTTACGCAATCATAGAGTCCTATCATCCTCACCGTATTGAGAATTTAACTTCCCACAGCTGATGATAGGAGCAACCTCAATCCATTCAAGACTATTTCAGTGTTCTGGAAGTGCCACCAAACACTGCAAGGCACAAATTGCAAGGGGGCACAGAGCTACCTTTAACCTCATGTTTACACAAAGTGGAAGGTCACTCCCCTTGTCAGTGCTGTAGTCAACACAGCGGCTGGAGAACAAACACGGGTTTGTTCTCCACCCTGCTCCCCTCCCTGCAATTCCGCACGCCCCCACAGAACTCTTTTGGGTCGGTGGGGTTGATCTCAGAGGGGATGTGTGTCCTTTCCTTGTCCAGTGACATGTCAAAGGTCCCCATATTGTTGTGTTTCCACCATCGCACCAACCCCACTGCGCACTTCAAACATTGGCAGACTGGTGTGCTTCTGCTCCAGGTACACTCATCAGAGGCGTAAATCTATAGCCAAACTTTCTGGGACAACAACTCAAGCCTGGAACACTTTGGAAAGGGGTTGCCTGAATCCCCGGCCTGCTCTGGGTTCAGCTAATCTCCCATGCATGAGCCAAATACCATCTGTGTTTGTTCGGCAACAAAGGAGGCACTTGTTAATGACTTTCCATGTCTTCACTGAAGTACTGCTGAGGGTGCGGGGAAAGAAAGGAAGCAGAGTATGGAAAAGACGCGTCAGATGGGGCAAATTAAAGACCACAATTTTATCGTCAATACCGCTAATAGCGTTTTAGCAACATGACTTAATGGAACACAGACAGCATCATTTGAAGGTTAACTGTTTGAATCAGTTCCTCATCAAGTGATTACATTTCCTTAAAAAGGCTTTGCTAGGGTCGCTAGGCTACTTGCTCGGGTTCAAACCCTAATTTGACTAACTGCGCATAAGTTCTTCTCATCTGAAATTCGTATAAAAAAAAGCTATATTCCCAAACCTCTCCAACAAGCGGAAGCATCAGTTTACATTCATCAGTATAGTTTGGCTCAGTTGAAAAATTTACTTCATAAAGCCGAACCAAAATAACCAGATCCGAGTACAATATGGCATGGGAGGAGTAGAGTGGTGCAGGATGCACTGCGCTTCTCAACTAAAACCATCATGAATCTGGAGCGCTAAAGTCGGCGCTGAAGATATTCCAGATTTGACTCGATTGTCCACTTGCGCTGAACATGTTGACATGTTTTGTGGTTCTTTGACTGAAATGTGCTTGTGATTTGAAACAATGAACTGCCACGCACTGAGCATGTTTTGCAAGCTTTGGATTGAACCATGACCCCCGGCTAATCCTTTTCACTCGCTCCGCTTTTAAATTAGCTGCGTGACAAGCCAGTGCTCTCAGCTCATCCCCTTGCTCGCTTCTGACTTTCTGTGTCAGTATATGTTCACATTTCGTTGAGAAATTTCTATTAGAAGCTACGTATTTTCATTTGCGAAAAAGAGTTGCTAAATTGTAAAATCCAGTGAAGCGATGACATTTGCTTTCCTTCCCCCAGTCGCTGTCCTGTTCCACTCATCCAGGCTCATCTGCAACTCGCTTGGCAGAGCAAATTTAGGCAGCGCGTAAAAACCAACAAGCCACACTGGTGCTGGTCCTTTTTTTCGAACCTGCTCAACTGTTAACTGTGTTTTTTGCCCTGCCATGCAAATGCATGTGGATCAAAGCGGACATGATAGGACAACGCCTATGCAGGGCCTCCTCCTAAAACCAACAGTGGCTCCTAAATGAACAGGGGGTTCCATGTTCTCTTCCTCTTTTTGTTGGCAGAAAATAATGAGTAAGTCACTTTCTTCCAGCCCCCATTTGTCACACAGTCATCACTCCATCCAACTGATGCAACTGATGCCTCATTTCGATGTAATTTCATGCCATTTCTAAAGTCACAGTTGGAGCAGAAAATAAAAAAAATTCTAACAATAAAACTAATAATCCACCACTACAATAATAGTGATAATGATAATAATAATAATAATAATAATAATAATAATAATAATAATAATAATAATAATAATTTGACTGCCATTAAATGAAGGGCAAAAGAGCCCCAATGACAATAAAATTCTTAATGGAATAATTTCGGAGATTACAGGTTTTTGCACTTCTTCCACTTATAACATTGTCGTAAAAAAATCTGTCCTGACGTGACTTAAATGTGACCGGGATGGGACAGTCGAGAACATGTAGCAACTACAAACCTGACAAAGAAAGAATGACCAGAATGTACAGCACAGTCCGATAGTGAGAGTGTGTGTGGGCCCTTCCCTCAGGCGCCACTATATACTGGTATGTTGACTCATGGAATGCTTTCACAATAAACATCACACACTCATGGAGAGCCACACGCACACACACTTGCTGACCTATCTGGTGCAAACACACCAGTTTAGACATGTTTTGGGGCGTTGGAAGTATTTTATTTGTTGCACTGGATCAGTGCGGCAAGGTGTTTCGTGAACAAAGTGCCCACTTAGACTTTTTCAAATAAGTCACCGGTATAGATTTGATGTATATGAATAAAAAAATATATATATTTGGTTTGGATGTGTATTATATCAGACGGTTGCATCATATTAAATTGACATATTAAGAAAGTTTCATCGGATGTTTGCATTTGGCAATGTGATTGTTTTCCCGCTGCCCTTTTCCTTGTATTTTACAGACAAACATTGCCCAAGAATATTTTTGAATAAAATACGCATTCAAATGTACTTTAAAAATACATAAAAAAAATCTTGAATATTAGAATTCTTCTGTTTAAAAACACATTTTCACTCACAACAACTTTTCCCTTTTGTGTGTCCCCACAAAGCTGGTGTTGATGGCATTCTGTGATGTGGCACATTGCTGCCATCCCACATTCTTGTTTACCTGTAATGACATTGATGTCAGGATAGGTGTTTTCACAGAGTTCCACAGCGTAACTGTCTCTCTCAAACGCCTCTCGTAGCTCCTTCTTTACAGCTGCAGAACCACAAAGTCGGTAAAGCCCCACCACCTGCAAAAACACCCCGCACATGTGAAATTAGGTCAAGTAAACATACACTGCCCATTCAGGAGTCCAACAAAAGTACAGCGAGAGATATTTTCACACCCTGAGCGCGACACGTTTCATGATACTATATTAGTATATTAGGGCAGCTTGTTCTGACTTCATCACTTCATTGACAAAGAGGTAGAATATAAGTATGTGCACTGCAGCGCCAGACTGCAACAAATCTTTTCTGATAGAACAAACAGGACTACGCATATCATGATAACACTAAATGATTTGAGAGGATGTCTTCAATACCAATTAGAGTGAAATGAATTCCACTGGAAATTGGATTTGTTTGCTAGAATTTGCTGATTCTTAACAAAGTGTATCTTATCTGAATACCATTCCTGACGAAAGTTGGCCTAAACTCTTTAAGCTGTTTCATACTTTAGTGATATATGAACTAGACTATTAAAATGTTTCCCCGTAGTTCAATACAACTTGTGTGTGAATACAATTTTCACGGCAATGTGTTTTGCAGAGCTACATCAAAGCGCAAAGGGTCACCAAGCTATTTGAAACTGACACCTACCTTCTTGGGTACTGATTAATGTGAAGGGCTACCAGTTAACATGCACACATCTAAAATAACACATTTGCTTGCCGGTAAATTAACTTTGTTATTTTTAATAATTGATGATATTCGGCTACACCACCTCAGTTTCTTATTCAATATCACTAGAAAGTGTGACATTGTGAAGAAAGTTGATATTTCCTCACAATACTTATCAAGAATATATGAAACAAAAATATCAATCTGCAAAACTTGGTTTCAAAAAAGTTTTGGCAAGTTCTTACATTTTCTAATAATGACTTGTTCAATGTTCCTAGGAAATAACAATGGCTTATCACCGATAAGCTATTTTTAAAAACAGGCTCACAGGCTTACTCATTTGGTTCTTGGAGGTAACATGTTGCCTTTGGGCGCCACGTTGGTGACTGCTGATCGAGAGATTCAGCAACATCCAATTCCAAATGTGACATTCTGTTGTGAGTGAATGGGCAAAGCCTGTGCCCTCAAAAACATCCAACTGAGTGGAGGTTTAAAATAAAAACAGAAACAATTAAACCATCTGGGTCCTTACCAGAGTGTCTCAGCATAGCTTTATCCCGACACTGACATTTGATAGTCAAAGACATTTGATAGTGAAACCAGTTGCCTTCTTATGTTCGGATTAAGGCGGGCTACTGACATACCATAATTTCTCCTACATGTGTCTGTCTGGTATGTGGCATGGCTGACCAACTGGTGTGGTTGCCAGAGCAACGTGTTAAGTCAGTGGGCTGTGAATGGCGAGTTGGACCCGGTTCCACGGAAAAAAAAAAATGATACACCCGTATTACTGCTCTTTCCAGGCTCGAGAGTAGAAGCACGAGAATATCTCACAAGGTCAAACTATTTCCTTAGCCACCGTGTTGAGCTGAACTGCTTTTTGTAAACCTCACACGAGGGGAAAGACGGGGACAGATTAGCTGAGGATTTAGCTTTGTGTGCAAGTAAACAGAAGTCACTGGGCACAATGAACAACAAGTCCATTCAGAAATTAAAAAAAAAAAAAAAACTTTCGGGGAGAGTCGAGGACCAGCTGGTAACAACTGTTAGCGGAAGAGGGCTTGCACTTCATACACTGCGGCTGCCAAGCAGCCAGAGCAACGTGTTAAGTCAGTGGGCTGTGAATGGCGAGTTGGACCCGGTTCCACGGAAAAAAAAAAATGATACACCCGTATTACTGCTCTTTCCAGGCTCGAGAGTAGAAGCACGAGAATATCTCACAAGGTCAAACTATTTCCTTAGCCACCGTGTTGAGCTGAACTGCTTTTTGTAAACCTCACACGAGGGGAAAGACGGGGACAGATTAGCTGAGGATTTAGCTTTGTGTGCAAGTAAACAGAAGTCACTGGGCACAATGAACAACAAGTCCATTCAGAAATTAAAAAAAAAAAAAAAGACTTTCGGGGAGAGTCGAGCACAGGCTGGTAACAGCTGTTAGCGGAAGAGGGCTTGCACTTCATACACTGCGGCTGCCAAGCAACATGACAGGCAGCAGCAGGCCTGTATGGAGAATAGGTCAAACAAAACACGCATGAGGACTCTTAGTAGGGTGCTGAGACCAATGATGGGATCAGAGGGATTTGTGTTTAGTCCGAAATCAGTTTAATGACTGGACTATCAGTACCACAAAGGAACAGTGTAATGGGTCCTTGACTTTATTAATGCACTTGAGTGTGAGCCAAATACAATTCCAAAAAATTGTGGCCCTGTTTAGACATTGTATTAACATGCACCAAGAGATATTGGAATGAAAGTCTACTGGCAAAAGCCATCACTCGAGCATCGGATGGTCCATATAGGGTCTACTGTAATTATGAGAAATATCTTTTGGTACACTTGCGCCTTATCAGAAATAGTCCCTCAACAAAAAAATAAATTTCAATGGAGTTAGATGATAGCTTAAATGATTACCTGCTATTTGATGGATTTAGTAAGTGGATGATAGTAAAATTACAAATATGTTGCAGTGCTATTCTTATCCAGTGCATGGTCACAGCACAGGGTCTGATGCCTTTCACTGTTGACTTTGGTTGAAAGGCAGACCACACCCTGGACTGGCTGCCAGAGTATGACAGAGCAGGTAGGAATTGATCCCCCAGATCCACAAAATTCAGCATGTCAAAACTGCACCACAAAAGACCAATTATAGTTTCATCATACGTTCAGTCTTTGCAGTGCAGTTTCTACTCCAAGCACAATAATCTACGTATTCTATTAAAACATCTCTGACAGTCACAACAGCATGACGGTATCTTTGTAAACTCAAAAATACATTGTTTATAAGATCTCATGAGACTGCGTAGATGCCGAAAGAGAAGCGTCTAACCCTGTAATGCCTGACCCATCAAGGAATAGCCAGAAAAATCTGATTTTTGGGAACTGAGATGTTCCTTGTCACAAAATCCACAAAAATATTTTTGCCATATCATATTGTTTTACATATTTGTCATATCACATTTATAAGCATTATGTAGATTACATCTGAAAATGATAATTTGGGGAAAATCATATTTTAAACCTGCAGTATCAAATTTGATACAGATGATTTCATGTAATATAAAGAATGAGTTACATAATGAAAATGCATGTATCAAATATGATACAAAAGGCATTATAGGGCTCATCTTGTGGACTGTGCATATAAAAATCTCAACCAATTGCATTCAAGGTTGTGGAACCACTACAGTTTGAAAAATGACCATACCGTGTTATTTATACAGCACAGTAGTCACCTGGTTCAAAAAGTAAGGTGTGCGCAGACCAGCAATTATTCGTGCGAGAGCGGGGTTTGGGGGGCATGATACAAATACACATCTATTTACTAGCAGCTAAACTGCTAATGATAACATTAGCGTCCTGTCGATATTCCTCTCTCATTATTACACATCATCCACATCATCAATTAAGTGCTACTTGCTTTTTTTCGTTTCTGTTTTTTTTTTTTTGGCGTCAATCTATACAGCCCAGTAACAATTGGCCCATGGACTAAAACAGTGTTGTGGTTAAGGACCGCTTAAAACAACGAAGTTGAACCAAAGTGCTCTCCAAGTTTTGAGACAAAAACATAATTCATACAATGTCATGTGTTAACATTTACAAATCATTGAAAAAGACTGTCATTGTATACAAAAACATAGCGAGTGCTCTTCATTACATTGAAAGTGTGTTTCACACACTAGCCTATGTGCATCTTGAACTCCTTTGTAAGGCACGACGTACTTCAAGTTACATGGATCGCTCTCAAGTGGAAAACAAAAGTATTTTACATGGATGCTCGGTGATCACATGAATAACTTGAGCGTTTGAGACAGGCATCGTTTCAGTGCTCCACAATCCTCCAGCATCTTAAAAGCTTTTCGAACCCTGAGGTCATGTGATTCTGAGTGACTCTGACGAACGGCTTGCTTCAAAGAGCTGCAAAATTAGTTTGGAAATCCACACTGCGCTCTGTGTCTGCCCTTGCGTGTTTTAGTGACACAACATGCAGATTCCTATGGGATCTGGTGTGAAACCTCTTCTAGCCTCTGTCTGCCTCTAACCCAAGGGGTATCCTTTACTTGTCACTCGTTCTACTTGATCTCTGACTCGGAGAGACTGAACACAATATTTCGGTTATTAAAGACAAGGGCAAACCAGGGGCGGAGGGATGGGGATAAAAACAGAGACATCCAAGAGCAGGGCGCACTCATTATGAACCGAGACAAAGCAGAATGAATTCCATAAACATGGAATCTGTTCAGCCCTCGTGCGAACGTCATTCAAGTAAGAGAAAAAGTGACAGTACACTGCAAACACAATGTTTTAAAAATCGAGTCAAACAATTAAGCAAGTATAGGTCTAAAACAGGGGTGAAAGCAAAAAAAAAAAAAAAGTCATCTGACTGAAAACTTTATTCAAATAACTGCGGTCAATTAACAGTTTGCAGTGCAGTGAGGCCCACACTGATTCTTTTTAAATTATATTGTACCTGATATCTTGTCCAAATGGGGGAGACATTTTTAAACTCAAAATATAAATGCAGAAAACATTGTAATGGAGACATTAAAGTAAACAGTGAGTGTCAATAATTAAGTGGCCCTCCCTTCGATTTTTTAAGTCATATTTTCTCCATTCTTGAAATGGGTACCAGGCCTTTATAACGGAAAAATAAGTAGAAAAATAAGTCAATAGAAGCTGCATTTGTTGACAAAGCTGGGGTCGGCTACCTTTTTGAAAGCGAGAGCTACTTTTGGCGACTGATTAGTGCAAAGGGCGACTAATTGGATGCATGCAGTACATTTGAAAAAAAAAACAAATTTGCTCAAATTACCTTTAACCTGCTGTGGGGTTAAAATTAGGGGATGTCTTTGATATTTGACAAATGTAGACTTTGACTTGACTTAATAGTGTGTGTTATTGTTAATATTGAGATTCATCTTTATGAAGACACTGATCATGTTCATGATTTCTCACAATAATTGAGAAATAGAAAATTAGATGCAATGCTATTTTCATAAATCTCTGCTCGTATTCACATTTTAAAACAGTTCGAAAACATTTTTTGAAAATCACATTGCCCTATCACTGATGAATTATGACCCTCGTGAGGAATTCTGATAATGGGTGGATGGATGAATTGTTTTCTTGTCAAACCTGCAGCCCCTGTCCTCTTCTGCCTGCCAATCATTTGCACTGTGATTGATAGACATGTCGCGAACATTCACTTAACGCTACCTGCGGCATTGACAAAATAAAAGTTGCGTTATTGTGATGAGGTGCAACAAAAACACTGCATATAATTGCACGCATACCAACTGTTGGACAAAATTAATGGACTTGACTGTCAAAAGCGCGGCCGCCTGTTTATTTTATTTTTTTTCTTTCTGAATTGTTCACATTGACAGAATTCTATTGTGACAACGGAGGTCTTTAAGCCCTGCTCTAAAATCTACAATCTTTTAAGCGTACATGGTTCTCCACTGGTGAAGTTAAGGCCTAAATCACAGGACTGATTTATCAAATAAAAAGCTTCAAGAGTAGTGAACAATAACAAAGTGATGTAAAAATGACAGCTAATTTATTATCCACTAACACAAAACCCAAATGAGACATCAGTCAATTAAAATAATAAGTACCTTGGAAACCAACAAAGAACCATTAGTGCTGTCGCAGTTAACCAGTCGTGCAAAAGTAGCTGAGGCATGGTTGGCCTCATTTTAGAGGTTGAATGTTTTTTTTTCCTGTTGTCCCCAGGCACTGGCATGCCTCTCAAGAGTGATGTTCTGAACAATGGCCAAACACTTTGACTGTAATTGATTGAAGAAACATCACCTCTCTAATCTCCCCCAGAGCACTACTGCTAGGTTTCAAAGAGCACATAAAATGTTCTCGGGTGGATGGGGGAGAAGGGGTGGTTAAGATCATCACATGACCCTGGAAAAACTCCATTAGTCCATCAGCATCATATGACCAGTCTCTTCATGCTTCATGCTTTTTCTTCTGTCAATAAGAAGAAATAGCCTAAAGAAGCCAATGACATCATGAAGTGGAGTGCAGCTTATTTTTCCATTCATCCCATGCTTGTAAGGTTGTGTGATTAGTGGCCGCGGGGCGAGTACTCGTCGCGTTATACAGGACATCTATTGTCACTAATATTCCGTGCTCCTCTTTTTTCTGCTTTAGGCTATATGGAATATATGGACATGAACTGAGGTTAGATGCATCTGTATTCACCTTTGTCCTCTATATGAAACGTTTGTAAGTGAAAGTCATCCATTTATGGCAATCCACAATGACACAGTCAAACGGAATCAGAATATAAAGGCTTCTAAAATGAAAGAGATCATATTTTTTAAAACAAGGTGAAGTTATGTGTTTGAAAAGACATTTTAAAATCTGTAATTGTTGTAAAGACAAGATGAGATGATCTCATTTTCCAAATTTGAGCAGTTTGGATGCGTGGATGTGGGCTCACCTGGCAACCTCGCTTCTCGATCTCATTGATGCATTTGCTGATAAGCAGCGGCACCGACAGTCCGGTGTCCTCCCTCTCCACCAGCCGCCACGCCTCCACACCAAAGACTTGGGGCTCCCTGTTGCCATCTGGTCCTCCATCCAAGGAGTTCTGCCACTGCTCCATCAGGTTCAACTTGACATATATCAGCCCGCGAGGTTCTAGCTTGACTGCCAGCTGGTGGGAACGTATTACCCTAAAGACTGCAGGTAGAACCACTGTGCCGTGACAGCACACACGATTTCGCTTCGGAGTAGGCTCCCAGCTGAACACAACAAGCTTCAAATGCTGGGCATTTTCCAGCTCGATGTTGAAGGTGTGGTCCATACCCAAGAAGGCAGTTCGACAGGTAAGGAGCGCCGTCCGCGCTTTATTAACTGAGTCCACTTGGATGGCGCAGTAGACATCACGAGAGTCAATGCGAGGCGGTTTGAGGTCCTCGGCACCGTAAAAGTGCAAGCTCATCAGTCCAGAGATGTACTGGCTACATTTGGGCTGCTCTGTGAAACTGTAATGGCGGAAAGCATCTATGTCCAAATCTGTACCACTTAGTTTTGAGCTTCCAGTCGGTACTTCTGAGTCCTTGTATCTACCACCCTTGCCCTCAACAGAACTGTGCTTTCCAGATTTAGCCACCAGCTCTGGTGAATCACCATCGCTTAAGTATCCACCTTTACTGGCAGATTTGGAGCTGCCATTGTTTTTCTTCTTATTTAAGCTGTGTTGCGTGGACACGCTGCTGTCCAAGTGGTAGCGTGAGATCACATTTCGGCTGGCAAGCCCAACACCAGATACAGCCAACCGTTGAGGGCCTGAACTTTGGGACGGGACCTCAGTCCCCACACCTGTAGCTCGAAGCGAATGGGATCTGGCCTCTAAATGGCCACAGCCATTGCTGTGACTGCTGCTTTGACCCTTAACGCTGAGTTTCCGGCTGAGTTCTGGAAGCTTCTTCATCTTCATGGAAATTTTCCTGACTGTGCGTGGGGATTTGATCTTATCTGGGAATGACCAGTTGATGGAGCTGCTCTTCTTTGTAGGGTTTGGACTGGAAGGAGGGGAGAATCCAACACAATTTGGGATGTCAGGAACATCTACGGAGGCAATGAGACAGTAAAGAGAAGTTAAAGGAGACTTTTCATGTTGAACTTAACACTAGCTCTGCACCGCTATCCCTATGAGATGGCTAGAGAGCTAAATGAACTCAAAAGTCTAAACAGGCATAAAGAAAGATGCAACAAAACCGATTGGGAGAGCTTTCATCACGCAGCAACTTAATGTCCCAAAACAACAAACAAGGTCGTCAGAGGCAAGAAGTGGAAAGTTTTGGACAGACCAAGTCGATCAGCTGACTTTATCCATAAATAGCACGCAAGAGTCTATGGTTAATGGTTGGAAAATTACCACAAGAGAATGCAAACTTGTTATATTTAGTTGACAGCAAAAAAAAAAAAAAAAAAAAAGAAATTGGCCTCAGTGTTGTAATAATTTTGGAGTACTTTATTAATCTTGTGTGGGAAGTTAACCTTGTAAAAATAAATGGGACACTCATTGAAGCACTTATAAACGGAACCAAAACCACAACCTGACTTCACCTTTTACATGCAGCTGCTCATCAAGTTAGAGCTTAAACAAGTAGTTCAACATGTTAGGGTTGCTTGGTTTTGTAGCTACTTGTCCCTGGTAGAGTATAATAATATACCTCTACTGTTTACATTAACAAATAAGCAGATTACTGTACATTTAAAATCAGGCTTTTGACAATTATTATTGGTTTTGGATGACTTTTCATGGTTAATTACTGACCTCGATTCTACCTGTCTTCCAAGGAAAAAGAAAGCAGACTCATATTTTAAGTGCAAATTTTCCACTCAAGAACGTCATAATATTTCCGCAATAGTTAGCTCGAGTCAGTTTTAGACAGATTAACACGTCAGTCCCACATTCAAAGTTTTAACATGATTCCCTCAGTCATGTACCTGCTTACTTTTTCACTTAGGAGGGAACACCTTGTAGCATTGGAGCCACAGTTCATGCAGGATTAGGTCTGGATCACATGACTTGGCAAGTTCTTTGATGACTGTTTTTAGAACTAACCTCATTTGGATCACGCAATAAGGTGCACTAGATGCGACAAGAAGGCCTAAATGATGCCAAGTCTCAAGAGTTGGGATATGGACAGGCATTCAATTGTGTTTAAAGATCCTTCTGAACTGATGCGTTAGATGCATGAGGTTATTAAGCATTTAAAAATTTAATTTTACCTGATGATAAACGTCTGACACCAGAGGGATTGAATGGAGAGAGTAGTTGACACAAAGAGGAGAGAAGAGCGATGGATAGTTTGACTGGACCAATTTTCCTAGCTCTGTTTTCCGAGGGAACGTGGAGTTATATTTTGGGTCCTACAAGTGAAGGAGGAGGCAGAGGTGGTTTAATAGCATGTAGCATAAAATGGGGATCAGGGCAGGGTGTGATGGGGGACAAAGACGCCCCTTGTCCAAGTACTGAGGGTTCTGTATGTTCAACTGGAGGGCTTGCAAAGCTGCCAGTGAATGTACAAATGAACAGTGCTCTACACTCATATTCCTAGGCCAACCATGTTGAGCCTCCTTTCCCACTTCCTTATCCAAGCTTCTTTCTAATAATAGACAGAGAGGCACTCTGAGAAGAACATGGGCGGAGAACATAGTAGGTGAAAACGGACCAAATAACAACAAGGGAGGGGTCTTGAAACGTGTTTTCCACTTGAAAGAAGCCTTGCACGTCAGTGTGTATGCAAACAATTACATAATTCCTAAAGCCATTACACAAAATGTGATGAAAACATCTTGAGTTTTACTTCAAAACTCGAAACATTCAAAACTTTCCTCACTTCATGGACCACGTATTGATTGGCATTAGCTAATCACAGAGTCGGGGTTTGAGTCCCGCTCGGGTGGCAACTGGTTGTCGCAAGTTGGGCTGCAGCTCCTGAAAATTTTGGGTGTTTGGATGTTCTACTGAAAATTCTATCAAGTATTCAGATAAAAATAAAAAGCACAGGATGTATTTTTGCTTGGTTAAAAAAACAACTGAATACAGAAAAGAATACATTTTACTTAGTTAATAATGAATGACCAACTGTTTTTATTTTTACATAATCAAAATTTTTGCCTAAATTGAAACTATGCATGGTAGCTGCATTCTCTTACGTTAAACTGCCTTTGAAAAATAGTCCGACGAATAGACGACTCTTGCCGGCCTTTATGTGGCACTAGCTTAGCAGCTAGCAGCTAGCCAGTAGATGCTAACACTTGAAAAAGGCACCGTATGTAGGGTGGCCAGACTTTCAACATAAAAGGCAGGACACGACATGACAAAAAATCAAATATGAAATGTATTTTCATCAGGAAATATTTAGAACAAATGTAACAGCTAATTCATTATATGCTCAGCAGCTCATGACATATTTCCGGTGGAAAATATGGAGGCATACGAGCTTCCGGCTTTCGTTTATTCTAAGCTATTGGGGCACCATCTGGAGGAAAAATAAGCTTCTTTTTGTAGTAGGTACATTCAATAGCTTGGGGCACATTTAATTGCTTGCTTTTCAAAGTGGAAATGTCCTCCAAATTTGTGACTTTTCAAAGACGAAGGAATCGCTGCTCCAGCCAACTCTGATGTGCCAGCCATTATATTCAGCTTTTTATTTGAACACGTTCACCAGTGAGCGAGTACTACAAAGGAGAACGGTTGATGAGACACCTGAACTTTTGCAACATTGATCTGATGAAGGTAGTCGGGCCTTTATCTTTGTTTCTCCTTGTTCGACTCTCCGGCGAGTCACGAATCTGTGCTCTCTCACTCCTTCTCCCGCCGTCCATGCGAGGTGATGTTGCTCTCTCTGTCACGCAGTGTCATGGTTCTGGTCCGTTTGTGACCAACAGGTTGCATTGGAGGGCTTCTCCAGCAAAGTCGCACCTGTTGGCCGTCATGTCATTCACTCTTTTCTGTTAAAAGGACTGCCACGCCTCCCACTCGCGGTCGGATCGTTGCGCTGTCTCGTGGGTTTTAGCTTGTTTGTTACTTTGAGTTTGGTTTTTTTTTTCAGGACTTTGTTTATGTTATTGATTTAGTTTGGCCCGTGTGCCCATGTAAGAGTTTTTGTTAATACATTTGGTGGAGTACACACTGCTTCTACTGCCTCCCTGCTTCTTTGGTGCTCTACCATTATCCACCTCATAACACGAAGCTTTGTGGGAACATTTAGTAGAATATGCTGGTCATTATTATCATTTTATTATTAGTTGTCTTTTATATTTTCCTAAGTTCAATTTTGTTGTCTCTACACCATAGAACGTGACAATAAAGGCTTTTTATAATATTTTGTGGTTATTTTCATACCCTCTAAACAAAGTTGAGTTGAGTGTGTCAAAATTAAGTCAAGTCAAGTCAACTTTATTGTCAAATATGCCTCCACTGACGAAAAAAGAGATTGGCTCACATCTCCTGTCCAATGTAAATCCGTTTCAATTCCAAGCGGCAACTTCCAGTTCCACATATGCATCTGCGCTCTGCACTAACGCTCCTTTCTTCTCATCATCGGCTCCACAAGCCATCCATCCATCCAGCCGCAGACTGTCCAACAGCACTGACATTTCCGCTGAACAAAATAGGGCTGTGAAAAATGCTGCCCATTACAGGTGCAAAAAACACAAGTGCCCCGGGGCTGTCCAGCACTGACAGTCAAATGGCGTCGACATTCCTCTCAATCAAAATCAGTGCTGGTACACACGTGCTGCCGAGAAGGCGCAACCACCAAGCACAGATTCTTCTCCTTTGACGAATGTCATGGCCAAAAAAAACACTGAAAAAATCAGGTCCACACGACATAACAACAAACACCATGTGACAAAACAAAACACAAAAACAACAAATAAAAACAACAAAAAGGCAAGGCTCTTGAAGAGCACTTGCCGACGACTGCCTACTTGGGTGCCATCTTGGAAAAAATAATGGAAAAAATAAACGCGCAAGACTATGTTCACACGGACCTGCAGCACTGAGTAACAGCAAATGGCTCATTAAATCAGACGTGGTGATTTGATCATTAATAAGCTAATAGGGCATTAATGGTAACATGGCGTCATTTCAGCAGACTGCGAGTATATCTTAAAGCATTTGACCCTGTTTCAGAATTTACGTTTCAGGATTTACGCCACAATGCTATCAGGAACAACTTAAAATAAAAGAGTACCGAGTAATTTATGTTCACATGTCATATTGATGTGCTTTAGTAAGCTAAGGTTTATTTTGAAATTGACATTTTCACCGCATGTTAATGTCATGCATAGAATCAAGTGGTTGCTGCGGCTGGTGTGACAGTCTTCCCGACGGCGCACACCCACAGATGACCAAATTAACGAGTACTCGAGGCAGAAAAAAATTCCACAAGCATTTTTATGAGCTGGAGGTCGCCAAATTACTCAAGTTTCACCCCAAGCTAAAAGATACAAGTCTTTTTCCTGACTACCATCAAGGTGCAATTGAACACGGCACCAACACCACCACCCCTTTACTTTGACATCTCCACTTGCATGCTTGCATGGGTGTGATCTGGTTCTCTTTGTAATGTATCACAAAAAGAACAGGAAAGGGTCTTGCCGAGGAAGCCAAGTGAATGCTTCCGTTTTCCCTGACCGGTATTTGATCTGCACTCTCCAGCAACCGAAGTCAGGTGCTACCGACTGAGCCATCTACCTCTTTGCCCCATTAACTAATGGCTAAAAGTGCATCCAAAGGTGTGTTCACATGGCACACATTTGCTCCGGCGCTGCACCGATGTATTTTGTTGCGATATATCTTACACCGGAGCAAATTATGTGGAGCGGTCACACGCACAAAGCCGCTGAGGGTGTTCGCACCGGCGCAGCATCATTGCAGCTCCACTTGCGGTCACACGGCAGTTTCTGCAGCGGAGCAAAACGACAGAAAACAAATGAGCTGTCGTGTTGGTTCTTTTTAAAACTTATACACAGCTCAAGCAACTACTGTCCAGGTACGTCCTTCTCCTTCTCGGTCTCCGTGCCTTCAGCTCGAGAGTGACCGCCCC